AAAATCTTTAATGAGCTTGTATATAAACAAACAAATAGTGAAAAAGTGGCATATATATTTTCACTCAACTCTACTCGAAAATGGTAGGGACTTGATTCGACCTGACTCGAGACATGGCTTCACTTGCTTAGTCCTGCATGTTTAATTGTTTTACTTTGTTTAAAGTACATTGAGCTTCTTCCATTCCACTTAATTCTGTATCTGTATCTTCAAGACGATTGCAATTTACATGTGAATGAACATATTTATCCTGAAAAAAAAAACGATACAATGTTAATATTTATAAGAGAAAATAATTTTTTTAAGAATGCAAAAGCCGAAAAGTGGAATGAATGCAAATAAACATATTTATTTGAATCATATATATACTACTTTTGTACAGGGGTACCAAAAGTCCTGTCGCAATAAGAAATTGAGGTATCTCCACCAGATGTCGACCAAATGAGCTGAAATTTTTACCAGTGATAGAGGCATATTCAAAGTTTATATTCATAAAGATATACATATAGAGACCCTTTGTGAAGTATCACTATTGACTTCAACACAAAAAATTTACTTTTTTACAAATAGAAAAAAACAGTATACAAAGTATCGGAAAAGTCACTTTCCCGAATAAAAAATTTCATATCTCCATTACAACTCGAGCGAACAAGTTGATTTTTGTATCAATTCAAGAGGTATGTCCAAGCTTTATATATTCATAAGGACATGCCTAGAGAACCCATTTGCTAAGTATATTGGTTTTTCTTTGTATCTGTGAAAAAGTAAATTTTTTGTGTTGAAGTCAGTAGCAATACTTAACAAAGAGTCTCTATATGTATATCTTTATGGATATAAACTTTGAATATGCTTCTATCACTGGGCAAAATTTCAGCTCATTTGGTCGACATCTGGTCGAGATATCTCAATTTCTTATCGCGACAGGACTTTTGAGGCACCCTGTGTTTATCCTTGTTTTAGTAAGATAAGACAGGCTGAAAAGAAAATCCACTACATTAGCAAGTTATTTCAAAGATGAAACCTAAGATGAGAATATATAAACATTAATAGGATAAGTCATAATATATTGCTCTCTTGGAAAATCCTAATTATGCTTCAATTGTATATATTATGAAAAATCTGTTAGCGCAATCCCTTGCGGGATTAAAAATGTGAAACACGATGGATCTATTGTTACTAGTTAAATGGAAATTGTTTTGTTCCATTTCTTTGCGATATATTTGTATCTATCGGTTTATCTAATGCTTTAGAACTACAGTTTCTCTGTTACGATCTGTGATGGGTCCCAAGCCCTGTCTGTCACGGTCTGTGACGGTTAATTAGTTAATTAAATACTAATTGATTAAGATGTCTGTCACGGTCTGTGGAGGGGAGGGGGGATCCAAATTGCTACCCTTAAACACTTCAACACTCCTTTCAGATCGTGTTTCACAAAAGGATACAAATATAATGTCTAATTCGCTTGATCCAATTACAAATTATCATGTTATCAATAAGACAACATATATATTTATTCAGCAGTGACGTTAATATGATTCTCCGAATTTTTCTGATTGTTTTTGTATTTGCGTTCTTCACGAAAAAGTTTTTTCAATAAAATCGATAGTTTTTTTTTTGTGTTTCATGGTTTAACTTAGATAAGTTTTTTCAAAGCGTGATAAAATAGAGACGAGAAGTTTTTAGCAGCTATTTGTGTTCACGAGGGAACTTCCCGAGGTGTAACCTCCCGTTTTGAATCATTTATATCTCATTTAAGTGAGCATATTGAGATAGTAAATACCCTAAAAGGATTTGGGTTTCTGCTTCTTCTATCAAGAGTTATGACCGTTTTACTGAATTTTCTATCCATCTCGAGGTATTTACTGTAAAAATGAAATTAGGGAATTTCGACTTAAAATTTTGTTCACA